TGCTTGTTAGTGTCATTGTCGTGGCATGGCTCGCGCAACTTTTGTTTAATGCACTTGATCTTGCTTGAGATATCTAACATCTTCATATTTTACGAATTAATATTAATTAATAATGATGGTTCAACTTTTCACCAAGTATATGGTTGTCTGGTTGAGCCTGTTTATTTGCATGTTATTTTTATGTTTTTCATGTCTTTCTTGTATTTGAAAATAAAAATATTTAATTAAGTAGTGATGTTTAGTGTACCTGATTATGATATTTTCTATGATATATTTAAAAATTTATTAAACCAACTCGTGTTGACATGAGCAATAACGGTATTTATTAAATTAGTCTTTGCTGCCGGTGGTTTCACAAGAAACAAGAATTTATAAAATTGTTTAACATATTATATATATTTTTTAGATCATATTTAAAATAAGGATGATTTTGCTCTCAAAATATTTCTGAATAAACCTTTGGCTTTAAAAATAGTATAGCGTTGTGCTTATATATAGCTATATTTGCAAATAAAATAACGGGTGTTTATCATCAAACTTAAAATTCAATTAAAGGCTCAAGTATATATTTGGTCCTTTAACTTTGTATAAGTTTTCAATTTAGTCACTTAATTTTAAAAAGCATACTTTTAGTTTTTTAACCTCAAAAATTGTTTAAAAAATGATAACATTAAGATTTTAAATGTTGATAAAATATTTTCAAATAGTAACATATTAAGTTTCAAAATATCCATGATTGTTACAAAAAATCATTATTGAAATCTAACGATTTTAGAGTTAAAGCACCAGATATATGCTTTTTAAAGTTAAGGGACCAAATTGAAATCTTGTATAAAGTTAAAGCACCAAATATATATTTTAGCTTTCAATTAATGAGCACATGATAATTAACAAGATAATCACTAAAATTCATCATCAGTCACTAGTAATACAACTCGTTTTTTTTATAGTCATACAATATATAGTGTGTGTGTGTGTGTAAGAGTGTACTGCAGATTTTCAATTAAAAAATACAGCTATATTAAAAAAAAAAAAAGACAGAGAATAGACTTGATGATGCTATTGCCACATGGTTAGCAAATGAAATAACAGGTGTTTATAATCAAACTTGAAATTCAATTAAATGAGCACATGTTAATTAACAAGATAATCCCCGTAAATTATAATTATAAATAGTTATTTGGACTTTTTACATAATTTATAGTAATCATGACCTAAGAATCTTAGTTAGCAACAAAATGTGAAGTTTGTTTAGAATATATAATTCAGTCCCTTTTGTTGTACATGAGAATGACGTAGTTTTCAAATTGTTTAATCATCTTACAGCCGATGTCTGGAGTCAATGCAGGCACAAAACAAAGTGACCTAATTAATTAAATAAATCCAACTGCTTTTGTATTAATGTTTATTATTTTAAGATATAGAGGATCATTAGATAGAAAAGAAAGAAACAACCATGTATTAAGAAGTGAAATATTTTAATGAATTGAACTGATGTAATCTAAAATGATTTTTCGTGAATAAATTAAACCAAGAAGATTAGTGACACCACCTCACAATACTTTTTTTTTTCTTTAATAATAAATGAAAGTTCATGTAGATTCAATCTCATGAGTCATCAAATTCAATCTCATCAAATTTAAAAAGTGTGCTTACACATAGAGTATTCTTCCCGTCTTAGATATAACGGTTGGATAAGGAGTTCACTTTGATCCTAATTAAATATAATATTTCAATCCATTTTACCTCTTAAATTTATAGTTTCTTTCCTAAAATATTTCTACTGATTGCATATATTAGGGGCTTCAATCAACGGGTAGAAAGTTTTTCTAAGCAAATATATCCTCCTGTTAAAAGGGATCCTATTCCAAACACTATTGGTTACTACTCAGGTTCTTAATATAAGAGCTGGTTGACTAATTTGAATTAATTAATAAAATTATTTAAGTTAATTATTTGTAATAAATAGGTTTCATTTGTACCAAATTACCCTTGCTAATCATGTATATATGTAATAAAATATTTAACGTGTATAACTATTATAAAAACTACCTTTACAAAAATTGATAAATATGAATTAGGGTCTTATATTTAGAATCAAATTAAAAGTGAAACTAGTTATAGAAAGTAATACTAAGTATTAGTACATCTCTTAATATAAATTCGAACATGTGGTGACTCCTTCATAGATCCAGTCTTTGCCGGCATTCACGAAGAAATTTGTGAAACAGCATCGTTGATTGAAAGAAACTGGGCAATAAATGGATACTTGGGCCTAAAAACTATGAGACCAATGTTCCTCTTTTATTTCTTGGGTACTTACGAGAGAGAAAAGTCAAAAACTTTGTAATACTTGACATGCTCCCACAACAAAATCTTTATACCTGTTGCTTGGAGTGATGAACCTAAATATCACTCCCCGTAATTTTTATTATAAGCATATACGAGTAATAACAACTTTACATAAATCAATGAAATTAATTAAAATTAGTTTTTGTTGTAAAAAATCAAAATTGCTTTAAATAAAAGTTATTAGTTAAATAAAATCGGTTGGTTAAAAAGTTTTATAACCAGTCAGGGATATTAGGAAAAGATTTTTTTTATGAAGGTAAAGAAAATTAATGATTTAGACAAAATATGTAAATTTAATAATTCTTAATTATATGATAATTTTCTTTGGCTAAAAAATGCTGTGATAATTTTCTCGCCACGATTTTTCAGTTCCACGTACATTTCATTCCAAATGAACAATTACATGCTTCTTGAGGAATTTTTTTTTCTATGATCACACGGATATCATAATATTACAATATCATAACAGTACACTTTATGTGTGTGTGTATATTGTTGGCAAAATATGTGTGTGTTAATTGGAAGTAATGAGATCCGAAAAAATAAGTATTCACAAGGCTAAAAAGAACCAAAAGAAAATAATATTTTGTCTTTTAATTAAAAAACCGCCCCGGGGGTGGTCGAAAACACTGGCGCGTGCGTGTGTCACTACAAAAAAATAAACTTTAGGCGACTTTTTTTGTCGCCACTGAAAGTTCGCTGCTGAAACTAAGACTTTCAGCGGCGACAAAAAAAGTCACCGCTGAAAGTGTTGCCGCTGAAAGTGTAATATAATAATATGTATTTTATTTTACAATATTAATAAACAAATTCAATATGGCTCAGTAGCAAGAAGATTAGACACGAAAGGAGGTGGTCACGAGTTTGAACATTGAAGAAGACACATTTAAGGTGAAAATATTTGGACGATGACGTGGCAGGGAGGAATGATGTGGCAATGACGTGGAGTTAGCTAGTGATGATGTGGCGGTCGGCGGTGATGATGTGGCCGCCGGTGATGATGACGTGATGACCGGCGGTGATGACGTGGCACTGGCGGTGATGCTGTGACGTTGGTAAAACCAATTCTCCTTAGGCATTACTTTTAGCAACGACAAAAAAGTCACCGCTGAAAAGTCTTTTAGCGGCGACAAGAATGTCACGGCCAAAAGTGTCTTTTAACGGCGACATTCTTACTATCGCCGAAAGTGTTTTCTGCGGCGACACGACTGCTACAGCAACGACTTTTAGTTGCCGCTGACTTTTGTCACTACTAAAAGTCAATTTTTTTGTGGTGTGTGTATATATATTTTTAATTAAAAGATCAAAAATGGCATTTAAGATAACAAAAGTAGTTATAATGTAGATTTTAAAGAGGTACAAAAACTTAAAAAAGAAATAAGTGAAGGAGGTAAAGACTTGATGGACCCTATACTAAAAATAACGAAGCAGCTTAATCAGAGGTTGCACGAGATTTTGTTTGACAATATCACTTGGTTCCATCGTGAACTGTAGTTTGAATAAGATGGCCCGATCTTTCAATGACAAGGACAAAGAGGTATGGAGATATAGGATCCCCTGGCCTAACTCCGCGAGAAGGGATAAACTCCTCAGTGATAGACCCATTCCAAAGGATTTTCATATAAGGAGAAGAGACGCATTCATGTATAACCTGGTTCAAGTTCTCCGGGAAATTCAGCTCCTTCAAGCAGTCAAAAATAAAGGACCAACGAACTCTATCATATGCCTTCTTAAGGTCAATCTTTATGGCCATAAATCCATGTTTTTTCTTCATAGTACGCATAGAATGGATGATTTCCTGAGCGAGAATAATGTTATCAGAGCTTTGTCTTCTGCTAACGAAGCTACACTGATTTGGAGCCACCACTAGAGGTATGATAGGCTTCAGTCTGTTGGAAACAACCTTCGTTACAAGTTCATAAATTACATTACACAAGTTGATTGGCCTGAAATCTCGTATTGTCTCAGGATGATCCACTTTAGGAATCAACACAATATGGGTGCCATTAATTTCTCGTACAAGACTCGGTTCCAGAAATATTCGTTTCACCAGATGAACAACATCTCCTCCTACTGTATCTCATTGGCTTTGGTAAAAGAGAAGATTTAGGCCATCGGGCCCAGGGGACTTCAGTGGGCCCATATCGAAAAGAGATCGCTTGACTTCTGTATCCTCCACCTCTTTCCCCAAGTTATTCACATGAACAACATCTATAGTTGGGTATTTCATCCCAAACTCAAGAGATGGCATCCCTGCTCCAATCTCTGTGTATAGTTCCTTAAAAAAACAACATCCTATATCCATGATTTCCCCAAAGTCATAGGACCAAATGCTTGACTCTAGTTTCAAGGCCTCTATCCGGTTCTGTTTTCGCCTGCCAATCGCTCTTATGTGGAAATATCATGAATTACAATCACCGTGAAAAAACCATTGTGCTCGAGAATATTGCTGCCACATTAACTCTTCCTTCAAGAGTATTTTCTCCAGCTCATACCAAAGTTCCTTTTGAATCCTTTCTAAATTTCTGAATAAACCAGACAAGGAAGATTTGTGCAAAAGGCCTTCCAATCTTCTATAAAGTTTTCCTTTGGCGCGTTGAATATGTCTGAAGACCTGTATATTCCATCGGGATAAAGCAGCAGTGAAGTCATGGACGTTTGAGTTCCAGTCCCCCCCTCATTGCCCAATTGTCTTTAACGAAGTTCCCAAACTCCTCATGAAGGACCCAAGGGGCAAAAAAACTGAAGGGCCACTCATTGGTTGAAAATGAAGCAACTTTCTTAGTTCTGAGTAACAATGGGTAGTGATCCGATTTGAACTTTAGAGGTTGGAGAACCAAAGCATCCGGGAAGCGTTCAATCCATAATTCATTGAAAAGAACTCTATCAATTCTATTCTGGCTAGACCCTCTCCCCCAAGTAAAGCAAGGTCCGGAAAACCCAATATCGAGCAAGCTGCTAGCGGGGATCCAATCTTGGAATTGTCTCTCCACTCTACCGCTAATGCCTATGCAAAGCCCAAAGCGATCATCACGATGAGGAATCACGTTGAAGTCCCCTCCCACGACCCATTTGCCATTCATCGATCTTTGAATAGAAGTAAGTGACTCCCAGAGACTTCTGCGAATAATGGCATTTGGATGTCCATATACTATCGTAAGATACCAATCCTCATTACTGTCATCTTTCACCATGCCATGCACGAACTGCTCTATTGTTGATAAGACTAAGAAGTGCATTTATCGTCCTAAAAAAGCCATATGCCACCACTAAAACCCCTTGCTTCCACCACGTACGTATTAGACCACCCGAGCTTATGGGCTATTAATTTAGCTCTATCCCCTGCTTGTCTCGGTTCCAGGAGAGCCAGGAAAGTTAATTTATATCTTAGTTTCAAGTCCTGAAGAAGGCAACAAAAGGAGGGCCCACCGGCACTTCAAGAATTCTAAATCACCATATTCATTATAACAAGTAAGATAAGAGGAGAACAAGTCTGACAGAGGTGGTCCTACAACCCAGCGGTTACGCGTGGAGCTTCTCCACCCACAAGCATCTCAACATCTTATTATCAACAAGTGGGTTTGAGTGCATGAAAATAACCAGATCACCCGCAATGCCTGGGTCTATCAGGTTTGAAGAAGCACTTTTAATGGCCAGGATAGATGTAGTTGGAAGAGCACAATCTAGTGGGGGATCGTTAAGCGCTATAGTCCGATGATCCGCATAGTTATTCTCCATTGAAATGTTCACGTCAGTTGGCTTGCTATGAAAGGGAGCCTCAACATTCGATATCTAACTAGTGGAGTCCTATTTATAAGGATCCATCTTATTTTTAATAGACATGTAGGCTTCCATTGGGCTAACTACTGAGTTCCTTCGGCCCACACCCACGGTTTTGAGCCTGCTTTTTTGCACTCCCAGCTTCTTCTATTTTTTTTACAGATCCAGCTCATTGCCATTATTACAGATTTTGTAGTGCTTTTTTACCTCTGACTCCTTAAAGATAATACCATTACAAGAATCTCGGCCCAAATCCTGCTTTTGGTTGCTCTTTTCCAACTGAACAGAATCTTCTCCAATATTATCAGTTAGCACCGTAAACCGTGATCCACCATTAATCTCCTTTGATTTTCTGTGATAATCACGTCCTGAATCACGCACATGATCCTCGCCTACTGCCTGTTGGGGTCGTTGGGGCTGTCTCCGCTGTGGAGCCACCATCCAGTCGTCGAAGTTCGTTTCCTGAGGATTCTCTAATACTGATGGTGCAACTCCCTCACTACCAGGTGTAGTGTTTGACTCTGTCCCTTCCGATGGTGCTGGTCACCTCTGGGAGTGGCTGGGGCAGTGTTTAGAATCGTGCCCGTATCTGCCGCAAATAAAGCATATGGAGTGTAACCCCTCGTAGACAACTTTCTTCTCCTTCCCATTAATGAAGATCGACAGTAGTAGAGGCGCGGTAAGATCTAGTTCAATACATATGCGAGTCCCTTAACGTGTCAAAGGGTGTTTTTTTATCCACCTTGAGGACTCTCCCTATTTGGCTTCCTACGACATGCAAAATACCCGGTTCGTAGTAGTCTACTGGAAACTTTGGAATTTTGATCCAAGCAACAATCTTCGTGACCTCACTTGCATCCGGATCAAAGTCTAGTTGCCAAGGTTGAATAGCGAGGTAGTGGTCAAAAATCATCCAAGGACCCTCTGTGAGAGCGAATTCGTAGTCCCTTTCGTTACTTCGACGGACAAGAAAGAGCCCCAATCCTATCTCCAAAGTTTCAACTTCACCATGACGACCCCATAACTGTTGCAACTTATTTCCAAGGTAGTCCTCGCGAACCATACGACCCAGCAAGAGAACGAACAACGACGTTGCCCACTTTGATGCCAGTTGCTTCTGGCCTGGTACTCTGGTAGGATAATAACATTAGGACCCTTCTCCGTGCGTTCCACTCTCATACGTGATTTCCATCCATCCCCAGTCCACCGATCTTCATCATCTATAGGGTCCTTGGCCAAAATGTTTTTCGCACAAGCTTCCTTATACGATTGTCGTGTCTGATCTGCATTCTCGGGGTTAGCCACATCCTCATCAGTCATCCAATCCTCTACCCTAGGAATAGCCGAGCGATCAGTGACAAGCACCGTATTTCCCCATCCTCACCTTCTTACGATAACGAGCCAAAACATCAGCCTCCTCCGTTGAGACGGCCACAGCAAGAGAGGTTTCCTCCATCTTTTGTTAGGGACCAATGTTTTGCTGTGGGTATTTATTTAGTCAGTCTTTGCTACCGGTAGTTTCACAAGAAACAAGAATTTATAATATTGTTTAACATATTATATATTTTTTTAGATCATATTTAAAATAAGGATGATTTTGCTCTCAAGATATTTCTGAATAAACCTTTGGCTTTAAAAATAATATAACGTTGTGTCTATATATAGCTATATTTGCAAATGAAATAACGGGTGTTTATCATCAAACTTAAAATTCAATTAAACGCTAAAATATATATTTGATCCTTTAATTTTGTACAAAATTTTAATTTGGTCCTTTAATTTTAAAAAGTACTCTTCTGGTCCTATTTATAAGGTACAGAGAGAAGGTTTTTTTTTGTCCTATTTATAAGTCATTTCATTAAATTTTTATCATGAATGTACCATATTGTCCTTCATTTGTTATAATGTAGACAGTTATTTTTTTTTTAAAGAAGTATATATTAAATAGGGGTAAAGTTGAAAAGTTGTTATATTTTAATGAAGAGTTAATGCAATTTAAGGTTTTTCTTGGTCTGTGTGAAACATATTAGAAATATCTTATAAATAGGACCAGAAGAGTATATTTTTAGTCTTTTAATCCCTAAAATTGTTTTTAAAAAAATAATGACATTAAATTTTAAATGTTGATAAAATATTCTTAAATACTAACATTTTAAGTTTAATTTTAAAAATATCCATGATTATTACAAAAAATCATCGTTGAAGTCTAACGATTTTAGAGTTAAAAGACTAAATATATGCTTTTCAAAGCTAACTGACCAAATTGAAACTTTATATAAAGTTAAAGGACCAAATGTATACTTTAACCTTCAATAAAATGAGCACATGATAATTAACAAGATAATGACTAAAATTCATCATCGGTCATTAGTAATACGATTCGTTTTTTACAATAGAGTGTGTATGTGTGTGTAAGAGTGTACTGCAGTATTTCAATTAAAAAATATAGCTATATTTAAAAAAAAAACAGAGAGAATAGACTTGATGATACTATCGCCACATGGTTAGCAAATGAAATAACAGGTGTTTATAATGAAAATTAAAATTCAATTAAATGAGCACATGATAATTAACAAGATAATCCACGTAAATTATAATTATAAATAGTTATTTGGAATTTTTACATAATTTATATTATCAACCAATTAATCATGACCTATGAATCTTAGTTATCACCAAAATGTGAAGTTTGTTTGGAATATATAATTCAGTCCCTTTTGTTGTACGTGAGAATGACGTACGTTTTCAAATTGTTTAATCATCTTACAGCCGATATTTGGAGTCAATGCAGGCACAAAACAAAGTGAGCCAATTAATTAAAGAAATCCAACTGCTTTTGTATTAATGTTTATTATTTTAAGATATAGAGGACTATTAGATTGGAAAAGAAAGAAACAACCATGTATTAAGAAGTGAAATTTTTTAATGAATTGAACTGATGCAATCTAAAATGATTTCTTGTGAATAAATTAAACCAAGAAGATTAGTGACACCAACTCACAATACTTTTTTTTCTTTAATAATAAATGAAAGTTCATGTACATTCAATCTCATCAAATTTAAAAAGTATGCTTACACAGAGTATTCTTCCCGTCTTAGATATAAGAGTTGGATAAGGAGTTCACTTTGATCCTAATTAAATATAATATTTTAATCCATTTTACCCCTTAAATTTATATTTTCCCTAAAATATTTCTACTGATTGCATATATTAAGATTGCATTTATTAGGGGCTTCAATCAGCGGGTAGAAACTTTTTGTAAGCAGATATATCCTCCTATTAAAAAGGATCATATTCAAGATACTGTTGGTTACTATTTCTAGTATTTAATATAAGAGTCAATTGACTAATTTGAGTCTATTAATAAAATTATTTAAGTTAATTATTTGTAATAAATAAGTGTTGTATTTGCCAAAATACCATTGCTAATCATGTGTATATGTAATGAAATATTTAACATGTACAACTATTATAAGGACTACTTTAAAAAAAAAAGATAAATATGATAGACAAAAGAAATTGAGGGTCTTATATTTATAACCAAATTAAAAGTTAAACTAGTTTTTATACTAAGGATAGAAAATAATACTAAATATCAGTACCTCTTTTAATATAAATTCGAACACGCAGTAACCCCTTCCTAGATCCAATCTTCACTGGCATTCACGAAGAAAGTTGTGAAACAGCAGCGTTGATTGAAAAAAACTGGGCAATAAACGGGTAGTTGGGCCTAAACATTATGAGACCAATGTTCCTCCGTTATTTCTTGGGTGCCCACGACAGAAGCAAATCAAAAACTCTATAATGCTTGACCTGCTCCTACAACAATCTTTATGCCTCTAGCTTGGAGTCATCAACCTAAATGTTACTCCCCGTAATTTTTATTATAAGCATAATGGAATTAATTAAAATTATTTAAATTTTTTGTAAAATATCAAAATTACTTTAAATAAAAGTTATTAGTTAAATAAAATCGGTTGGTTAAAAAGTTTTATAATCAGTCAGGGATATTAGGTAAAGAATTTTTTTTTTTTTTTGCTAAGGAGGTAAAGAAAATTAATGATTTAGACCAAATATGCAAATTTAATTATTCCTAATCATATGATAATTTTCTTTGGCTAAAAAATGGTGTGATAATTTTCTCGCCACGATTTTTCAGCTCCACGTACTTTTCATTCCAAATCAAGAATTACATGCTTCTTGAGGAATTTTTTTATATATGATCACATGGATATCATAATATTACAATATCATAACACTTTATATATATATATATATATATATTGTTGGCAAAAGATATGTGCGTGTCTTAATTGGAAGTAATGAGATCGGAAAAAATAAATGTCCGCAAGGCTAAAAAGAACCAAAAGAAAAGAATATTTTGTCTTTTTATTAGAAAACAGATAGAGAGAGATAGAGAGAGAGAGAACACTGGAGCGCACGTGTGCGTATTTTTTT